GACTTAAGGCGGCTTCATCAGATGCATGCAGTGTAATGCCTGGGAGCAGACTTGTATAGATGTTAATGAGCAGGCTATATGTGTGAATAGCAATAGAAATGCAAAACCTATGAGTATGGTGATGAGCTGACAAATGGCTGCTGGCAGACAAAGGCAGAAGGAAAGAGGTTGCTTAAAGTTGCCGTGAATAGATAAGCATATGAATAATGGAGGGAGACACTGAAATGTATCATGATACTAGCTGGAAACCAAAAGGTGGTGTAATAAGTGAGCCAAGAGAGCTTCATGAGGCTGGGATGTTAACTAGTGTTATATGTGAATTGTGTCAGGAAACCATTGTCTCTTCCACACACTGTTGAAAGACACATTTATCTTTACTTGATGAAAAAGACAGAAAATAAACTTTTATTACCACTTCATCACATTAGAGAAAAAAATCCACTTAAAATACGGTTTCTGCCTCCTACAGAATTCTGGGGTTTGTAGTTTAGTAAGGCTCTTAAAGGCTCCTCCCATTGGACATTCAATGAAGGCAGGCTTTAAAAAAAATTAAATTTCTATGCTATTAGAAATGGTGGGAGTTGAAATCCAAAACACCTGGAGGGCAGAAATTTGCCCATACCTATTGTAGACCTATTTTAAAATATGCAATTTATTTTGTTAGTTTATTTCCCGCTTGACTTATGGCAGCTCACAACTAAAAGCATTACAATACAACATACAAATATTTAAACAATATTAAACGTCATTAGTAGCCAAGTCTTAAGTTTCCTTCTAAAGGACAGGCAGGAGGTAGTCTGATGTACCTGGGGTGAACGTTCCACAGACGGGGGGCCACTGCTGAGTGAGAAGGCCCTGTCCCTCGTCCCCACCAGTCACGTTTGCGATGGCGGTGGGATCAAGAGCAGGGTCTCTCCAGATGATCTTAAATTTTGTGATGGTTCGTAACAGGAGATACGTTTAGACAGGTAGTCTGGGCCAGAACCGTTTAGGGCTTTAAAGGTTAAAACCAGCACTTTGAATTGTGCTTGGAAGCTGATCAGCAGCCAGTGGAGCTGGTGTAACAGAGGGGTTGTGTGCTCCCTGTATGCCGTTCCGGTGAGTAACCAACTGCTGACCCTTGGACTAGTTGAAGCTTCTGGGCAGTCTTCAAAGTTAGCCCCACATAGAGTGTGTTTCAGTAGTCTATTCGGGATGTAACAAGAGCATAGACCACCGTGGCCAAGTCAGACTTCCCAAGATATGTGCGCAACTGGCACACAAGTTTTAATTGTGCAAAAGCTCTCCCGGCCACTGCCGAGACCTGGGGTTCCAGGCTCAGCAATGAATCCAGGATCACTCCCAAGCTGCGAACCTGCATCTTCAGGAGGAGTGTAGCCCTGTCCAACACAGGCTGTAACCCTATGCCCTGTTTCGCCTTGCGACTGACCAGGAGGGCCTCTGTCTTGTCTGGATTCAGTTTCAATTTGTTCGCCCTCATCCAGACCGACACAGCAGCCAAGCACTGGTTCAGGACCTGTACACCCTTCTTAGTTATTTATTTATTTATTTATTTATTTATTTATTTAAAACGCTTATATTCTGTCCTTCTCACCCCGAAGGGGACTCAGAGCGGAGCACAACATATACATGGCAAACATTCAATGCCTGGGTACAATACATAAACATTAAAAAACATTTATCTAAACATTAAAATACACCATTTAAAATAACACAATTTAAAACTGTCCTAGCCATCCTAGTAACAGATGGAAAGGAGTGATAGAACTGAACATCATCCCCGTACAGATGACATCTAACCCCAAAACTCCGGATGATCTCCCCCAGTGGCTTCATATAAATGTTAAACAGATAGCCTGGACCTGAAGTGTCTAAAGCTTTAAAGGTCATAACCAGCACTTTGAATTATGCCCAGTAACAGACTGGCAGCCAGTGGAGCTGCTGCAACGGGGGTTATCCATTCCCTGTAGTCGGCCCCAGTGAGCACAACCTGGCTGCAGCTCCTTGGACCAGCTGAAGTTTCTGAGCACTCTTCAAAGGCAGCTCTACGTAGAGTGCATTCCAGTCATGCAGAAGGGATATAACTAAGGCATGTACCACTGTGGTCAAATCTGGCTTCTTAAGGAACGGGCGCAGATGGCACACAAGTTTTAATTGTGCAATGGCCTTCTTGGCCACTGCTGACACCTGGGCCTCCAGGTTCAGCACTGAGTCCAGGAGGACCCCCAAACTGCGAGACTTTGTCTTCAGGGGGAGTGTGACCCCATCCAGCACAGGCTGGATCCCTATTCCCTGATCTGCCTTCTGACTGACTAGGAGTACCTCTGTCTTACCTGGATTTAGTTTTAATTTATTTGCCCTCATCCAGTCCAATACTAATGACAGGCACTGGTTTAGGGTCAGGACAGCTTCCTTGGCTTTAGGTGGAAAGGAGTAGTACAGTTGGGTGTCATCTGCGTATAAGTGGCACCGTACTCCAAAACTCCGGATGACCACTTCCAGCAGTTTCAATTTACAGTCTGACTCTACAACATCAAAAATCAAAATAGAAATAAACTTACAAGGTGTTTAAAGTAACTTAAAATACTTAGAAGATGAAGAGAGATCATAAGAAAAGAAAGTCCTTTGATGAATGGTCTTAAGGCAGGTATGGGCAAACCCAGGCCATGGGGCTGAGTGCAACTCCTTGGGCTCCTTTCTCAGGCCCTCCTCTCTCTCACCATCCTATCCTTCCTTCCTTCTATCTTTCCTTCCTCCTTTCCTCCTTCTCTTCCACCCTTCTGTCCCTCCCTCCTTCCCTCTCCCTCCTCCCTTCCCTTTTGTCTTTCCTTCCTTCTCTCTTTCCTCCCTCCCCTCCTCTTTCTCCCTCTCTCCATCCCCTTCCACTCTTTCGTCCTTCCTTCCTTTTCTTTCCTTCCTCCTTCCCTCGTTTCCATTCATCTTTCCCCTTTGTCTTTCCTTCCTTCTCACTTTCCACCCTCCCCTCCTCTTTCTCCCTCTCTCCATCCTCTTCCACACTTTCCTCCTTCCTTCCTTCTCTTTCCTTCCTCCTTCCCTTACTTCCATTCATCTTTCCCTTCCACCCTTTTGTCCTTCCCTCCCTTTTGTCTTTCCTTCCTCCTTAACTCCCTCCCTTCCCTCTTTCTCCTTTCCTCCATCCCTTCCACCTTTTCATCCTTCCTTCCTTCTCTCCCTCTTTCTCTTTCCTTCCCTTTTGTCTTTCTTTCCTTCTCCCTTTCCTTCTTCCCCTCCTTCTCTCTCCATTCCCTTCCACACTTTCGTCCTTCCATCCTTTTCCTTCCTCCTTACCTTCCTTCCATCCTTCCCTTCCACCCTTTCGTCCTTCCCTCCCTTTTCTTTCTTTCCTTCCTTCTCTCTTTCCTTCCTCCTTAACGCCCTCCCTTCCCTCTATCTTTCTCCTTTCATCCTTCCCTTCCACTCTTTCGTCCTTCCTTCCTTCCCACTTTCCTCCCTCCTTCCTCCCTTCTCCCTTCTCCCATCCTTCCCTTTCTCCCTTTCGTTCTTCCTTCCTTCCTTCCATCCATCCATCACCGGGCAGCCAGTCCTCCTAGCAGGGAGTGCTATACTTGGCCCCCAAGTTAGAAAGTTTTGCCCTCGCCTGCCTTAAAAGATCTCTTTTGTAAGGGAGGGGCTTCAGCGCTTGGGGTATATAAAGGCCGCTTTCCCAAGGACTACAACCTTGCGGGGCGGGCAGGACATTCCGGGGAGAAACCAGCCCTCCTCCCTCCAGGCTCGAGAGGGGCGGCAGCCTGCCAGCCAGCCAGCCAGCCAGCCATTTCTCCGCCGAACAGGTGAGCCTCCGCCGCTGGGTTACCTGGGCTGCAGGTGAGGAGGCCGGGCGAGCAGCTGACCCAGGTGGGCGGAGACGCGTGTTCCTGCGGGGAGGAGAGAAACCTCTCCCCGGGAGGGAAGCCGAGAAGGAAGCGGGAGCCAGCCAGGCACAGCCTTTCCCCACTTCCTCCGAGAGCTTTGACCCACTTTCTCGGGCTCTCCCAGGAGGGTCTTTTGCCGGGGAAGCCTCACAGAAGGGGAAGAGGCACAGGTGGGCTCCCCTCGCCCCTTTGTTTCGCTCCGAGGCCGAATTGGGAGGGCGCAAGGTGTGGCTCCCCTTTGTGAGTATGGCGGCGGCAAAGGAGGGAAATAGCGGGGTGGAGTGGCCTTCATTGGAGACAGAGCAAGCCCCCCCCCCCTTTAGAGGGCCCAAAAGGCACTCAATCCCAGGGCCCTTCCACACAGCCCTATATCCCAGAATATCAAGGCAGGAAATGCCACAATATTTGCTTTGAATTGGGTTATTTGAGTCCACACTGTCATATATTCCAGTTCAAAGCAGATAATGTGGGATTGTCTGCCTCTATATTCTGGGATATAGGGCTGTGTAGAAGGGCCCTGAGTCCACACTGCCATATATTCCAGTTCAAACACATAATGTGGGATTTTCTGCCTTCCTATTCCAAAATATAGGGCTGTGTGGAAGGCCCCCCAGCTGATTTCGAAAACTAAGCAGGGTCAGCCCTGGTTGGCACTTGGGTGGGAGACCTCCAAAGAATCCCAAACTAGGTCTCAGAGGAAGGAATAGGCACAGATATACACCTCTTGTCTAATAAGGAAACCTATACAAGATCCGTGGGCTGGCTTAGGATGCATCTAGACCAGACATGGGTAAACTTTGGCCCTCCAGGTGTTTATTGGACTTCAACTGGCTGATCTACACTGTAGTTTGAATGCAGTTTGACACCACTTTGCCTGCCATGGCTCAGTGCTCTGGAACCCAGGGAGTTGTACTTCGGTGAGGCAGAAAAGGCTAAAAACAACACAAAACTATAGTTCTCAGGATCCCATAGCATTGAGCCATAGTGGCTAAAGTAGTGTCTAATGCAGACATGGGAAAACTTGGGCTCTCTGGGTGTTTTGGACTTCAACTCCCACCATTCCTAACAGTCTCAGGCCCCTTCCTTTTCCCCCTCAGGCACTTAAGCGGCTGAGGGGGAAAAGGAAGAGGCCTGAGACTGTTAGGAATGGTGGGAGTTGAAGTCCAAAACATTTGAAGGGCCCAAGTTTGCTCATGCCTGGTCTAATGGTATTATTCTTATGTGTAGATGCAACCTTAGTTTAGTAATGTGTATCTGCTATTGCTTCACACACCTCTGAGTTAAGTCTCTTGAATCCAATCTCAAACTGAAAGAGATCCAAACAATTTATAGATTTGTGTGTTCTCTTGTTGTTGTTCCCAAAGCAGGAATGGAAACATAAGAATAATGTATTCTCTAAATTTGTAGAATTGTCAGGTGTTTTTGGTAGAATTTGCTAATTTTTATCTGAATGATTCCAATGCTTACATAACATACAAAGTGGCTTTTTTTTTTTACTTTGGTGCAAAACAAGATCAGAACGGAAGAGCTGGATAAAATTGCCATAAAGTGCCATGGAGTCCCAGGTCCCACTTACACTGCCATATAATGCATTATGTGAGTCTACATTGACTCATTTATGACTACAGTGAGGCCTCTCACTGTAGCCGTATATGGCAAGTTAAAAATAAAGTATTATTATTATTATTATTATTATTATTATTATTATTATTGGGTTGCTGTGAGTTTTCCAGGCTGTATGGCCGTGTTCCAGAAGCATTCTCTCCTGACGTTTCACCCACATCTATGGCAAATATCCTCAGAGATTGAGGGATCTGTTGGAAACTAGGCAAGAGAGGTTGATATATCTGTGAAATGTCCAGGGTTGGAGAAATAACTCTTGTTTGTTGGAGGCAAGTGTGAATGTTGCAATTGGCCACCTTGATTAGCATTGAATGGCCTTGCAGCTTCAAAGCCTAGCTGCTTACTGCTGGACCACTCTTAACAAGCACTACGTCAGACTACACAGAGAAGCCATTGAAATCCACAAGCATGTGGACAATTTCAACGGAAAGGAGGAAACAATGTAAATGAACAAAATCTGGCTACAAGTATTTTTAAAAAACCAAAATCAGGAGAGTAAATAAAGAGGGATACTAAAAAAAACAGGGGAATTCCAGACATGAAACAATCAGGGCCAGCTAACACCTCCCAACAAGGGAAGCCTCCAGGCAGCAAGCAGCCAGGCTTTGAGGCTGCAAGGCCATTCAAGGTGGTCAGTTGCAATATTCACCATGCCTCGAATAGACAAGAGTTCTTCCTCCCACCCTGAACATTCCACAGATATATAAACCTCACTTGCCTAGTTTCCAACAGACCCCACAACCTCTGAGGAGGCCTGTCATAGATGTGGGTGAAATGTCAGGAGAGAATGCTCCTAGAACATGGCCATACAGCCTGGAAAACTCACAGAAACCCATTGATTCTGGGCATGAAAACCTTCGACAACACGTTGTTGTTGTTGTTGTTGTTATATAGCAGTGTAAATGGTACCCCAGAATATTAATTTGATTTTTATGTTAGAAATATATCTGCAATTTGAAATGTTTTTATTCTTTATATAAGTTCAGGAATAACTTTGGTTACCGCCCTTTGTACTTTTTATCCTGAACATTCTGTACATTTTATAGTTCCTTGTCATGGCCATTAGTTTACATGATAAACATATTGATTGGTTAATATTCTTTAAATTTTTCAAACTAAGTTGTGTTTTAGATTCTTCTGGCAAGAATCTAGCCCTGTTTTTCCATTTGGCTGAGTACATTTGTTTATATTGTCCCCATTCCGCTTGCTACTAGAACACATGCCACAAAAATAATGATTAACTTGTATTTTGTTGTCAAAGGCTTTCATGGCCAGACTCACTGGGTTCTCGTGAATTTTCCGGGGTCGTGTGGCCATGTTCGTTCCAACAAGGGAGGTGTTGTGCAGGCAGCACTCAGCCAGGCTTTGAAGCTGCAAAGTCATTAAATACTAATCCAGGTGGCCAGTTTGAATAGTCACACTTGCCTCAAACAGACAAGAGTTCTTTCTCCCACCCTGGACATTATTCCACAGATACATAAATCTCACTTGCCTAGTTTTCAACAGACCTCACAACCTCTGAGGATGCCTGCCACAGATGTGGGTGAAATGTCAGGAGAGAATGCTTCTGGAACATGGCCATACAGCCCGGAAAACTCACAGCAACTTGTATTTTGTTTTGCTAAACAGGAGAAGCTGCAAATGTCTTCAAGGAATGTCACATCAGAGCGCAGACTGGGGCAACATGTTCGATCTGTCCATTACGACGAAGTGTATGTGGATTCCCCTTCGCAAGAGGATTCAGAGAGGGATTTTCCAGAGGCTGAGCAGAATGCCGAGCCCTTTCCTCCTCCACCGCCTCTTCCCCTTCAGCCACCCTTTGGGCCTGAATTTTACCCAAGTGAAAGTGAAGAATCGGCTGGAAACTCTGATCTCAAGCCAGTGAGGAAATTTGTTCCTGACTCATGGAAAAACTTCTTCAAAGGGAAGAGAAGCGATCCTGAGTGGAGTAAGCCAGTCGCTGCAATTTCTGGTGGTGTCGAATGCTCTCCGCCATCGTCTCCAACACTAACTCCAGTGAAAACAGCCCATACTTCAGCTCAGAGCTCTTACCAGGATCCATATGGCGGGTCAGGGGGGACATACAACTCTCGCAAAGAAGCTGAAGCCATGCTTCCTTCGGAGCCCTACAGCACTCTAGAAAGGCATACGCAAATTGTTCAGAACTACAGTGACAAAGTTGAAGCTTTCAATCTGAGATACTCTTACATGAAATCGTGGGCAGGGCTACTGCGGATCTTGGGTGTTGCTGAGTTGCTCTTGGGCGCAGGTGTATTTGCCTGTGTAACAGCTTACATTCACAAGGACAATGAGTGGTACAACATGTATGGCTACTCACAACCGTATGGTTATGGAGCAAGCAGCACCTATGGAGGCTATTACTACAGCGGACCCAAGACCCCCTTTGTTCTTGTGGTGGCTGCTCTGGTTTGGATCATAACGATTATACTTCTAGTCCTTGGGACGTCCATGTATTATAGGACTATCCTTCTCGATTCCAACTGGTGGCCTTTAACGGAGTTTGGTATCAATGTTGCTATGTTTGTTTTGTATATGTCAGCTGCAATAGTGTATGTCAATGATGCTAACAAAGGGGGACTTTGCTATTACCAGCTATTTAACACGCCGATGAATGCATCGTTTTGCCGTATCGAAGGGGGACAAACTGCCGCAATGATCTTCTTGTTCGTAACCATGATTATATATCTTATCGGTGCAATAGTTTGTCTGAAGTTGTGGAGGCATGAAAGTGCACGGAAACACCGAGAATATATGGAACAGCAAGTAAGTTGTGACAATAAAACAGTTGTTTCTTTCATGCTATCATTTTCTGGGTCAATACCTAAGTCTGTGGTGATTATATTTAATGAGGGGTGAATAATTGTAGTGGCCTTTCACCATCTTTAAGTTTGACCTCCTTTCAGTAATAGTTTTATAAGAGGCTGAATATGGAGATGTATAACATTTGAAAATACTGGGTATTCTGTATTGTAAATATTTAATGTTTGCAGGGAACGCATGGGCAAACTTCAGCCCTCCAAGTGTTTTGCTCTTCAACTCCCACAATTCAAACAGCCTCAGGCCCCTTCCTTTGCCCCCTCAGCCACTTAAGTGAATTGTGAGATTTTTTTTTGTCATGTCAGGAGCAACTTGAGAAACTGCAAGTCGCTTCTGGTGTGAGAGAATTGGCCATCTGCAAGGACATTGCACAGGGGACGCCCGGATGATTTGATGTTTTTATCATCCTTGTGGGAGGCTTCTCTCATGTCCCCGCATGAGGAGCTGGAGCTGATAGAGGGAGCTCATCCGCCTCTCCCCTGATTCGAACCTGTGACCTGTTGGTCTTCAGTCCTGCCGGCACAGGGGTTTAACCTTGTGAGAGTTGAAGTCCAAAACACCTGGAGGGCCGAAGTTTGACCATGCCTGTTTAGAAGGAGTAATTTTCAATGTGATGCTTCCATGATTATTTTTTGTTGTTGTTGGATGACATTATAGTAAGTTTTGCCTAACATCTCAATGAACAAAGCAACCAGATAAGCACAAAACAGCTTGTTCAGATATGCCTGAAATAAAAATCCTATGTTAAGCAAGTAGGAGAAACTCACCTGGTGCCTGTAACTCCATTATAGGACCCTCCCCCCCCCCCAATGGAGCAATGGGTTAAACCAGCATTTCTCAACCTCCCTAATGCCGTGACCCCTTAATACAGTTACATTATTTTAGTTGCTACTTCATAACTGTAATTTTGCTACTGATATGAATCACAATGTAAATATCTGATATGCAGGATGTATTCTCATTCACTGGACCAACTTTGGCACAAATACCTGATATGCCTAACTGGAGTTGTAGTTCACCTACATCCAGAGAGCACTGTGGACTCAAATAATGATGGATCTGGACCAAACTTGGCACAAATAATCAATATGCCCAATGTGAACACTGGTGGTGTTTGGGGGAAAAAGACCTTGACATTTGGGAGTTGTAGTTGCTGGGATTTATAGTTCATCTACAATCAAAGAGGATTTTTTGAACACCACCAACAATAGAATTGGGTCAAACTTCCCACACAGAACCCCCCATGACCAACAGAAAATATTGTGTTTTCTTATGGTCTTTGGTGATTCCTCTGACACCCTTCATAACCTCTCCAGGGGTCTTGACCTCCAGGTTGAGAAACACTGAGTTAAACCTTTGTTCTGGCAGTACTGCTGACTGAAAGGTCTGCAGTTCAAATCTGGGGAGCGGGGTCTGCCAGCTCCAGCTTCTCATGTGGGGACATGAGAGAAGCCTCTTATGGCTGGAGAAGGCTGGTAAAACATCTGGGTGTTCCCTGGGCAATGTCCTTGCAGATGACCAATTCTCTCACACCAGCAGCAACTTACAGTTTCTCAAGTTGCTCCTGACATGAAAAAAACCTCCATTATAAAAGGTTGTGTCTGTATATCAGAGTTATATTATTGTATTTAGTATTGTGGGCTTCCCAGAAAATTGCGAATTGGTATTTATGTTCTGGGGGGGACGGACACCCAGCATCCTAAAGATATAATCTATATTTGCATGTATGTTTTATTTATAGAGCTTTAAAATATCTCAGATAACCAAAAATATTCAAACTGAAATATTTGAATAGGAAAAATATAATCATTGTAATATCATTTTGAGGATGTAATTAGATAATTCCAGAATTTTGTGTGGCTTTATATTTTCACAACATGAATTTCCCTTACTTCATTGGTTTAACCTGTATTTTGGAAACAACTTACACACTAATTAGAGGGCATCCAAAAAACTCTTTCCTGAGAGTCTCAGCTCATCTGCCTGCAGCTTGTCCGAGGCATTCCTTAAAAAAATTCACTTTTGCTGTTGGACTGTACAATCAGTCACACTGCTTGCTTAGACTTCAGCAAACCTGATCCAGAACACCATTCTCTCTTGTTGAAGGGATTTTCTTTCTTTGGACAAGATACATTTACCCAAACTTCTTCATTTATGGTGTCTATCAGTGTATTTTATGAAGCCACCAAAAAAAGTTATGGGAAATTGTCCATAGAAATATTAAATCCAAAGGACTTTACATCCCACTTCACTGACTGTGCTAACTATTTTGGTGCCAAACTGCTTCTTATCCCTGTCCCTTTTCAAACTTTCACCTCAGGCAACCTTTCTGCGGCCTTATTTCTCTACATAAGTAACTTGCTAATGGAGTGCGCCTGATTTGTATTGCTCCAGCAGCATGCCATCTTGGATTGGGTTGAGTTTTTTTTTATGGAGCCCCTGGTGGCGCAGTGACAGGTCGCAGGTTCGAATCCGGTGAGAGGAGGATGAGCTCCCTCTATTAGCTCCAGCTCCTCATGCGGGGACATGAGAGAAGCCTCCCAAAAGGATGATAAAACATCAAAAATCATCCAGGCGTCCCCTGGGCAACGTCCCTGCAGACGGCCAATTCTCTCACAACAGGAGCGGTTGCTCCTGACACGACAAAAACAAACAAAAAAAAAAACCACCAGGGCTCAAAATGTTCCTTAAGAATAATAACAAAACATTACAGATGTTGAAGGATACTTAATTCTGCACTTTCACAGCCAAATTCTTTGTTTGTAAGGAAACAAGTTTGTGATTGTAAAATTGCACACACACACATACATGCCTGCCATAGATTGAGGTGAAACGTGGGGAGATAATGCTTCTGGAACATGGCCATACAGCCCGGAAAACCCACAACAACCCAGTGATTCTGGCCATGAAAGCCTTCAACAACACATTGCACAAACACAGACATGATGTATACTCTGTCACATATTAGTGCTAATAATTCATTGTTGTTAAGGTATTAAGTACTTCATTTTAGATTTTGCAGCCTAGACATATATAGTTATGGATGCTGTTTTTTCTCTTCTTTTATTTAGATGAAGACACCATCCTTGACACCGAAAAAGATGGTAAGAACAAATAAAATACTGTACTTGCTGTATTCAAATGCACTGTTGTATGGACATAGAATCACAGAGTTGGAAAAGGCCTCCTGGGCCATCCAGTCCAACGCCCTGCCCAGAAGCAGGAAAATTGCATTCAAAGCACCCCGACAGATGGCCATCCAGCTTTTGTTTAAAAGCCTCAAACGAAGGAGCCTCCACCAAATTCCAGAGCAGAGAGTTCCACTGCTGAACAGCTCTCACAGTTAGGAAGTTCTTCATAATGTTCAGGTGGAATCTTCTTTCCTGGAGTTTGAAGCCGTTGTTCCACATCCTAGTCTCCAGGGCAGCAGAAAACAAGCCTGATTCCTCCTCACTATGACGTCACCTCTCATATTTATACATGGCCATCATGTGTCCTCATGGTCTGAGCATCCTACGTTTCAGAAAGGTGCGGGAGGAAATGGGAAGTTAAATATTTGTAGAAGTATCTGGGTAGATGCTGATTCATTTCTCTGTAAATCCGTTCAGCAAGCTTTCATAAACTTAGCTTAAATTATTGCTGCCACCAGCTCCTCTCTTTCGTCCAGATTTTTTAGGAGGCACCTTCTTCCAGTTACCTCTAGAAAAAGCTGAATCAGAACATGATGTTTAGCCTGAATCTAGTTGCAATCCATTGCATTATGAAAATGGTTACTTCCTGTTCAGCAATTGGTTCATGTCTGCAGGGACAGCAGGCATGGGCAGACTTTGGCCCTCCAGGTATTTTTGACTTTAACTCCCAATTGTGGGAGTTAGGAATTGTGGGAATTGAAGTCCAAAACACCTCGAGGGACAAAGTTTGCCTATGCCTGTGCTAGAGGACAAAATGACACTCTGTTGGTGACTGACTCTCATTAGGTTCATCCCTATATGCTATTGGTGGGTGGGTTGATTATTAGTGGGCATTCTTAACTAATGGCAGCCTCGTTTCTGTTTTCTGTTGACACAAAAACATGTCAGGGCGAAGGATATTGTTTTTAGAAAACCGCTAAAGAATTTGTGGCATTTTTTCTAGATTTCATGTTGGTTCCATGTCCAGGGGTGGAATCTCAGCCCTTGGGGGTCAATCTGATGACCACATCCACTCTCCTGTTGTATCTTTTTTTTCAGTTTTTGTGTGGTTTCCCCCATTTTAAATAGTTGAAAGTCTCTACCAAGGCTGTGCACAATCCATTTGGGGATGAAATATTTCCATTTTTGTCCTTTTATTTCATTTTACATATCCTGCCTTTTTCCCAACATGGAACTCAGGGCAGCTTGCAACAAGTTTAAAACAAGATCCAGATAACAACCCGAGGATATGTTTTTTGTTGAAAACAGTAAAATACTCTGTCCTGTTCAAACATGTGTAGTTTAGAAAAGTATAAATTTCAAAACATTACACTGAGGATAAAAGTACAGCACATACGCACACAAAAACCCTGTATTTGCTATTGGAATGCAGTTCCTAAGACCTTCCTGAACTGGAATTTGGTCGAGGTTCATTCTCTACCATATTTTTTACTACACTCTAAAAAAGCTGTGGTTTTTCTCTGAAGGAGAATGTCACCTCCTGTTTTAACTAAATGCACTGGACTTTGTTATTTTGCAGCAGTTAATGTTTAAGCTATAGTAGTGCCAGTGTAACCATTAAGGGTGTGCTGTCTCATGCTTATTGGAATTCTCCACAAAGGAATAAACTGAAGTTGTTGTCTTAGTGTCCTTCAGAGTTAGTGGGCTTGATATGTGTTTTGTTGGAATTTAGAGAGACGGGACTTGGGAAGAGCAGAGAAGCAGTCATATCTGAATCCCATGTCTGGGAGGTTTGTACCAGCCAGGTTAACAAGCCATGACTGCTGTTTTCCTTTTTTGCTGTGCTCCTTCTAGGCTAGTACAGATGAGGAGCCTGGAGGTTGGGTTCCTTCAAAAGGTGTTCAGGGTATCAATGGTGTTGTGGATTCATTTCCTTCAAAGCCATCAATGCTCCATATGTGTAACACCATGTTTGTGACTTTCTGCCAGTGTGAATGCTGCCATTGCTGATTATTTTTATATGCTTCTGGTCCAACCTATCTTTGAGGCCACATCCCCTTCTATGAGCCGACACAGGCTTTGAGATCCACCGGGGAGGCCCTCCGCTCGGTCCCACCACCATCCCAAGTACGGTTGGTGGGGACAAGAGGGAGGGTCTTCTCTGTGGTGGCCCCACAGCTCTGGAATGCCCTCCCCAGAGAAATGAGGTTAGCCCCCTCTCTCCAAGCTTTCCGATCCAGTTTAAAAACATGGCTTTTTAAACAAGCCTTTGAACTTGAATAGATTTTAAAGGATAGTCTGAGGATTTAGTGTTCACTTCAGCACTGGTCATAAACAACCAGTTTTCACCCACATTTATGAATGCATTTTATGCCTTTTAATTTAATTATGTGATTTTATATGTGTGGGCGATTGTAATTTCATGTTTTATTGTTTTCAGTTCTATGTATGGTTTATTTTACGTGCGGCACTTTGGAGTGCTTGTAAGCCACCCCGAGTCCCTTCGGAGAGATGGTGGTGGGGTACAAATAAAGATGATGATTATGATGAATTGTTAGGGAGATCCATCTGTGGACCAGTGGTGTCCCTGCTCTGCCTTGACCTCTTCAGCAATTAATTTTAATATTTTGGAGATCTGAAAGTCTCCATTTCTAATTCAGTTGCATATTAAGTAGTCTAGGTTAACGTTTTCTAGGGTGAACTCTTCTGTCCTTCTGTCCCACAGTATGATGAAGAAAACTACAGTCCCAAAGTAACGTTCGAATCAAAGAAATTCAAACCTGGGGAAATGAAACCTGAACTACTCAATGGCCATATACCAGCAGGACATATTCCAAAACCTATAGTGATGCCAGATTACTTAGCGTAAGTATATATTTGTAGAGACTGTTATGAAGCATGTTTTTGGAACTATGTATTTTCAGCTTCATGCTTAAAGAGATACTTAGATCCGATGCCTAGACACATCAGGAGCTACAATAGTTCTGCTAACTGACTTGTGAATTTTGTTCATATACATTAATGTTACCTTTTAACTTTGAGCTAATGGTTTTTACATGTAAATTCAGTGTATTTCATTAACGTTACTAGAAATGACATCTGTATTCTATAAAATATGCTATATAAGTTGAAATGCTTATCTCTATGGTGTAAAGCTCACTTCCTATTTTTTTAAATCAAGAAAATGCTTAGCTCTTTCATTTTTTGCTGTGCAACCAGCTATCAACATGTGGTTAATAATAATTGTGAAGCTGAAATATTAGTGAAGACCATTGCCCCTCATTCTAAGATAGGCCCCTAAATGCATTAATTATCCACTCAACTAATGATTCTATTTACTGTAGTAAAACTGTTTGAAATTTCATATAATTTCTCTAAATGAACCAAATTATGCTCTGCCTTCTTTTTCAATTTGAAAAGCAATATTCCATGCAGCATTGTATTTTAAAAGTTTTATTGCTATATTACACACATATTTACAGCTTATCCAGCCATCTGATACTTAGTAATTATAGGCCTCTCTCTTGCAGTAAATACCCAGCAATTCGGACAAACGAAGAAAGGGATCGCTATAAAGCTGTGTTTAATGATCAGTTTGCTGAATATAAAGAGCTCTCTGCTGAGGTTCAAGCAGTCTTAAAGAAATTTGATGAGCTAGATGGGCTGATGAGAAAGCTTCCTCGGCAACCTGGAAACACCCTGGTAAGTACCAAATTGAACATGAATTCAGTAATTATATTTATAAACAGATTAGTCTGTAGCAACAAGAGCAGGCTGGCCACTGTGTTGAACCATTTCTGGATGGTTATCTTTTCCTTTTTGTAAGCTGGAAACATGTGATGTTTATTGAACAGAGCATTGCATTTCAGGGGAGAGGCTGAAAAGTTGTTGGCATTTCATTAGCAAGTAGCCAGGTTCAATGCCAAATCCTGGAAGTTTCTGCAGTGGCCATGAGTGTTTTTGCACATTTAAAACGTGTTCAACAGCTGTGCTCATTCCTTGGGATGCCAGACCTGGTCACGAGAGTACATGCCCTAGGACTTCATGAGATGGAGTGGGGGGAAAGTGGTGGAAAGTGGAGTGAACCATCTTACCCCTTTCCCTACCATCTTCTAGAATGGCCAGTCACCCCACATCTGTTGCACTCTAGCACTGGAACACCCTTTCACCCAAGACCACACCACACTCCAATACTCCAATAAAAGAATGTTTATAGAAGAAAGTATATAAAAAGGGAAAAGGAAAAATACAAAAGAGTCAGGAAAGATATAAAATGCAATTCTCAAAAGAAGCCAGAGTTTGGTAGCAGTAATGCAAAAATGCCAAGGTAAAACACAAAACCAAGGAATCCAAAATCATAGAATTAATCCAGAGGTATATCCATGAACATGAAAACAGGAACATCTCAAGGGTAAATTCTCCAAAGATACACAGGCATAAACAGGAATGTGAAACAGGAATCTTGACAATACAAGAACCAAGAACTTGGAATCATAAACAGGGAACCAATCTCCTTTAGCAACATTGTCTCCTCTGAAGGCCTGAAAGCAACCCACTTAATTTAAGCCCTCCAAGACACCCACGATATTATGCCTAACACATCTGGACTTCGGGGTCTTATCTCAAAGCCTCTGAGAATATCTAGTTTGCTGGCTTTTCACACCTGGCTTTCTCAGGTCTAATCTAGTCTCCCTTGAAAACTCCTCGTCTTCCCAAGGCCTTTACTCAAGGGAACTGGTACTTTCATTTTCCTGTTACCAGGGAATGAGCTGAAGAATCCAAAACGTCAGCCTCATCAGCCTGCAATTTCCTCTGAGCACTCACAGACTCGTCATTGTGAAACCCATCATCCCCCTCATCCTCTGAACATTCAGAAAAATCCTCTGATACTTGCCACACTACAACAATGTTCTTTCCCTATCCGTTTCCCATCTTTTACCCACTTTACAAGGTTTGGAGTCTGATAACACCCAACTCCTGAAGATGGACCTCTGGATCCATTTCCATTCACTCAGGAAAAAGAGCCTCATGGAATCCTACTAGAAGTTTAATAACCTCTGTGGGGCTCCATTTTCTAAGCACATGGAGTCTATAGTTACATCCCATTTGGATTAATGTAACACACTCTGCATGAGACTACCTTTGAAAAGTGTTTGGAAACTTCAGCTGGTCCAAAGAGCAATAAGGAGAAAACATTGTAGAATGTATTGTGCACATGAGATTTGGAAAATGGTCTATATTCTTTCTGTTTATCCTTCATAGGAACACGACAGGATTGAAAATGTTCTGCAGCAATATAAAAAGAAAAAGAATGTAAGTTGTCTTATCTATTTTTATATTTGGTATTGCTAATATAAATGATGGTTAAAGAGGAGTAACAAAGATACAGCTTTCCCCAGGTTGCTTGTGGTCTAGATTATTTTACAAGAAAAGTAAAGAATAGTTGACAAAAGAGAATACATTTCAATGTCAATATCATCTTCTTGAAATTAGGTAAAGCTTGAGAACAAATAAAAGCCTCCAGCGAAAGAGAGTTTGAGAAAGGATTCGAAGCACAGAAAGACTCACTTATAAAACTAATTGTAGCAACAAGGGTTGCACAAGGAAGTGATGGATTTCTATATAATTCTAGTTTCCATTCATAGGCCTGAATCTTGTTGATAGCCCAAAATAGATTAGAGCCATTACATCAGTTGTATTTACCCATGTGACAATTCATCAATTGATCCATGGGTCTACTCCAGTTTAACCCATAGGATTCAGCCATAATATATGAATACAAGTATAAAGATATATTAGAACATGACATAGTGAAAATGGCCTGAATGTGAACTATTTTTGATCACATCCTGAACTACAGATCATAATGGATGTTTCTAAGATATGACCGATAGTTGTGTGTGGAATTCGCTTCTCCCATTTTTTTGTTTCTTCAAGAAGCCCCCTCCCCACATTAAAATCAGCTCAACACGAAAGCAAGCTGGAGCTAATTCCGGCTCCAAGCCTGCTTTTGTCTGTAGCTGAGCGCCTCCCAGAACTTGCCTCCTTGCCTTGGAAAGAGAGTGCATGTGGGGTGTAAGAGCCACTCAGCTGCAGGTACTGGCAGCCATGTGCGCTTTCTGGGCCTGTGTGCCACACACACTCTCTTTCCAGGGAGAGGGCATCTGTGGCATGCAGGCCCAGAAAGCATGCTCAGTTGTAGCCACTGGCAGGCATGTGTGCTTTCTGGGCCTGCATGCCACTTCACACACGTACTCTCATTGGAAAGAGAGTGTGTGTGTGCCATGCAGGCCCAGAAAGTGTGCACACCTGCAGCTGAATGCCTCTTACTCTAAAGTAGGAGCTGCTCAGTTGCAGGCAATGGCAGGCATATGTGATTTCTGGGCTTGTACGCCACACACACACACACACACGCACACTCATTCCAAGGAGAGTGTGTGTGTGGCATGCGGGCCCAGAAAGCACACATACCGGCAGCTGAGTGCCTCTTACTCTAGAGCAAGAGGCGCTTGGCTGCAGGTACTGGTGGGTGTGTGCGCTTTCTGGTCCTGCACGCCACACACGCACTCCCTTTCCAAGAATAATATATGTGTGACGTGGCATGCAGGCTCAGAAAGCATGCACGTTTGCCAGTGCCTGCAGCCTAGTACCTCCTCTAGAATAGAAACAGCAGGTAAGAAGCCTCCTTAAAACGTGTGCCAGGAATGGGAGCCTGGGTAAGAGGTCCCCCCATAATGGTCCAATAGAAACCATTGGGGCCCCAAACCAAAAAGAAGGTTCCCAAAAAATGGATCGGGTCCTCCACCGAAAGCATGAGCTGGGTCATGGTTTACCTTGAATGCACAACCCTAAAGACTGAATCTGAGGACAACAAAGAGATAGAAAGTCTCTCTTTATTGTTACTTTTAAAGACTGTGTTTTTTATTATGGTTTTAAGCTATACCGCTTTCAACAGTGCTACTAAAATGCGTGTGTTACTTTGTATTACAGTTTTACCTTTTTAAAATGCCAGAAGAAAACATATTCTTACAGAGCAAGGGCTATGCTCAAATTTACTTTTCCACTCATTCTTTATTGAGGGTTTTAGAAACTTGAATGTCATATTAATTTGATGTTTTCTTTACCCTGTCCCAGATTTTCAAATTGGATAATAACCCGATGGACAAAAATGTCCTATATATTTGTTTTAAATTATCATGTTCTTCTTGATTTAACTAATCTACTCCAAGGTCTGTACAAAAAATAATCATAATTGGGCCCGCGGTGACACAATTGGTTCAATCCTTGTGCTGCTGAATTGCTGACCTAAAGGTCGGCAGTTCAAATTCTGCAGGATGGGGTGAGCTCCTGCTGTTAGTCCTAGCTCCTGTCAACCTAGCAGTTCAAAAACATGCAAATGTGAGTAGATAAATAGGTTCCGCTTTAGTGGGAAAAGGCAAAGGACGCTCCAAGCAGTCTTGCTGGCCACACAACCAGGACGTAACAATGCAGGCTCCTCAGCTTTAAAATGGAGAAGAACACCTTTCCCAGAGCCAGAGCTGAGCACCGCCTCCAGAAGCTGGAAATGAAAAAGGAGAAGCCTTTGCCTTCTCTGTGTTTGCATGTCTCATTATATGTAAGGCATTGAATATTTGCCTATGTCTGCTACAAATGCTGTAATCCGCTCTGAGTCACCTAGGGGAGAAGTACAGAATATAAATAAAGTGTATTATTATTAGTAATTCCTGTGTTTTTCATTTTTTTCAGGATCCTACATTTTTAGAGAAGAAAGAAAGATGTGAATACCTAAAGAACAAACTGTCTCACATAAAACAACGAATTCAGGAATATGACAAAGTTATGAACTGGAATGCTTAGGATCTCAAGCTTTCCGTCTGATGTTTTTATATTTATTTATTGCCATTACTGTGTACAACATTCTGCTGTAAAGTGAATGCTTAAACCATACTTGGTTTTTTAAAATACAGTTTTGGACACAGCGTAATTGTCGGAGACAGTAGTTGGTTGTTTTTGGAGCTCCTGTACCATTGAGACATATTGTGGATAAGGTTATTACTCAGTGGGCTATTGCAGAATATTTGAGCGCTTCCGGAAATACTCCAAAACCATACTGTTGGAACATTTTGAGGTTAATCTCTAAATGTTGCTCTGCACTTTGACTGCTGTCCTCTTTTTCTTTCTGATAAGTATCATCTGTATATCTGTGACTTTTTTCATGTCAGGAGCAACTTGAGAAACTGCAAGTCACTTCTGGTGTGAGATAATTGGCTGTCTGCAAGGATGTTGCTCAGGGGATGCCTGGATGTTTTACCATCCTGTGGGAGGCTTCTCTCATGTCCCCGCATGAGAAGCTGGAGCTGACAGATGGGAGCTCATCCTGCTCCCCGGATTTGAACCACTGATCTTTCGGTCAGCAGTCCTGCCAGCACAAGGGTTTAACCCATTGTGCCACTATCTGTGACGGAAATCAACATTTCCTGAATGCTTCGCTGTGTAGTTTGCTGTTGCTGGGTAACAGTGATTATTCTGTAAATAGAAATCAAGTCTTTCCACCTGAAATAAAATCTGGGGAAAGGGCTTCTTATGGAGATCTTGTGCCTTAAGTTAAAGATTTGTTTATTGATATACCGTTATGCCTTAACAACGTTTAAAAAGGATATTCTAGCCAGTAGCAACTTTTTTTTATCCTGCATGCCTCCTATAACATATTTTCTAGTCTAAAATATTTCAAAAAACCAGTCTTATTCTGAAATACTCTTATATTTCATAACAATTTTGTAAAGAACCAAACTGTAATCTACTTGTGTTAATGTTAGCAAATCCTTTAGCTGTTTTTTAAATCTTCCAAATCATATTTTGCAGACTTTATTTGTAGTTGTTTGTACAGAGGTTATAGACACCAATGTTCAGAACTGATAGTTTGCTGATATCATTTTACTTGTTTTATAAAAATGGATGATGTAAAAAACATATCAAGACAATCATGTTATTCATTATGTGCAACATTAACATTTCTGTTCTGTTTCCAAGTGTCTAGAGCAGTGGTTCAAAAGGTTTTCAGTCATGGAACCCTTGTTCTCCCCGTGGAACCCTAAACATACATAATGCTTCCTTCTTTCATCTACTCTTGTTGCCCAAGAGTTTTGTATAAGGTAGTACAAGCATGGTCAAACTTCGACCCTCTAGGTATTTTGGACTTCAGCTCCCACAATTCCTGACCTCAGGCCCCTTCCTTTTCCCCCTCAGCAGCTTTGAAACACATCATTGTGTTTCAAAGGCATTTAATGTTTGCCTGTGTCTGTATATATGCTGGAATCTGCTCTGAATCCCCTCAGGAAGATAGAGCAGAACTATTATTATTATTATTATTATTATTACTACTACTACTACTACTATTTTTACTATTATTATCACTCACCATTTTGAATAGCAATGAAAGCATTTCTCTAATGTATCTATCGTCATTCTCCAGTCGTTGGCATGCAGAATACCTTCAAAGTTGGATCCTTTTATTTCAGACAGTTTCCAGACCCAGTCAGAACAGATGAGATTTTTTTTTTGTCATGTCAGGAGTGACTTGAGAAACTGCAAGTCACTTCTGGTGTGAGAGAATTGGCTGTCTGCAAGGACATTGCCCAGGAGACTCCAGGATGTTTTGATGTTTTACAACCCTTGTGGGAGGCTTCTCTCATGTTCCCGCTTGAGGAACTGGAGCTGATGGAGGGAGCTCATCCGCGCTCTCCCCAGATTCGAACCTGCGACCTGTCGGTCTTCAGTCCTACCGGCACAAGGGTTTAACCCACTGCACCACCAGGGCTCCATACAAATGAGAATAAAGAAGTGTTTTGATGTATCTATTTACAAAATGTAATCATAGTCATCCATTCTTTAAATATCTGAAAATTAATTCTTATGTATTGCAATTGAAGCAACATACTAAACACTGGAGAGGGAAACCCTATTGACCAGTGGAATGTGTTTCTGAGAATGCTGTGAACTCTACTGTAAATCAAAAACAATGAACACACATTTAAAGTTTTGAAACTCATCTTAAGATATTTCTAGTTACTCAGACAACTTAGAAAAGATCATGTGTTCAAAAATTACTAAGGTTCTGATGGATATTAAATTTATTTGTCGAGGGGAATGAAATGGGTAACTTGATTTCAAAGGTAACCAATTTATGTTTTGGATTCATTTCATATAGAAATAGCTAAGAATTAAAAAAATACTGTGCACAGGGGTAAGGAGAAACATGCTTAAATAGAAACATGGGAAATGTGGCAAGTAGTTACTAAAGAAGAAGGCCCACATGGTAGCTACTCCCAGGGGTGATTATATCTTTAAGAATGGCACTACAAAATCATCCAGAACATGTAAACTATGCAAGTTAATCATAGTTACTTGAGGGGAAAAAATGCTGTTTTGGAGTTTGAAATGGAATTTCTGTCTGCCTCAAAACATACCTAAAGGGAATATAAGAGATGCTTATTACATATTTGGAAACAAATGTGCTGTATCAAATGTAGGGTGGGAAACTACTTCTACATATTTCTGTAAACTGGATGAAGCATGTCTTTTTACATTGGCAATAGGAGATTAAGATATTATTTATGATGCCACAATATGTATTCTGGTGTCTTTATGTGTCACAAGTTAAAGTAGCTGGTTGATAATGTGTATGGAGAAGCCACAAAAGTATTTGTTTTAATGCTCTCAATCATTAATAACAATATGATTTCATTAGTAACATTGCCTAAAGGGATAGTCCTGTTAAACTGTTCCTGCCAAAAAAAATTTCTCTCATACCTTAAAATCCCACACATTAATTATACTATAAACTTTAAAGTGGACATGAATTGACAGGCAGACTAAATAGAAAAACAAACAAAAAGGTATGAGGTCAGGGGGAAGTGAAACCAAAAAAATAGGAACTGTGATAATTATGTCAAATCATTTGCAATCTACAGGATGCTGGCATTGGTAGACTAACCAATGCCAGGATGTTTGTGTTATTCTGAACACTCCAGGTGAAAGATCAAGGTAATTATTAAATGTAATTAGCACAATCTGCTTTTTTCTTAGTTATATTTCACTCCACATCTAGTCACATTGGATGTCATTTTGAGAAAGGTGAGGTATACATTGTAATAAATACATTTTCAGCCAACTTGTCCACACCTACATAGCTATATTGGGAAGGGGATTGTTGTTATGAAACTGCAAGTCCCAGTTCCCCTAATGTTGGGAGTTATAATCAAACAACATTTGATAGGCAAGATGCAGATAGATTTGTAAGGCGTCTAATCTATAAAAGGTTTTAAAATGCCTCTTTTTAGACACCACAATTTTCTGCCCAAGACTTCTGCTGTTGCTTGTTATGATATAGTAATTTCTTACTGGGACTGGTGATCCTATCTCTTACAATGGTGGAAATTTGGAGTTTTTCTAAGTCCTCTGGTTACTGAGAGACATCTGGCAAGCTTCATTAACCACAAATGTTTTGAGTCAGGAACCAGGAATCAAGACAATGAAAACTGTTTTTCCAGACATCTTCCCATGCTGGGAAGACAAAGAAAAAGTCCCAACAATGTGTATTGTTGATGGGATTGCAATCAAAGTTTCATCCTAGACCTTTGTCCCATGGATTGCCAAGATCCCCATAGTGGAAGTTCTGAGCGGCAGGCAGATGGATTGCCACTGAGATCCAGGAAGACTCTTAGTGTGTGTGTGAAAGAGAGAGAGAAAGAATTTTATAGAGCTTTCTCTCTCTCCTATATATATGAATGAAAGAGAGAGACATCAGGGCATCCCCTGGGCAACATCCTTGCAGACGGCCAATTCTATCACACCAGAAACGACTTGCAGCTTCTCAAGTTGCTCCTGATACCAAAAAAAAAAAAAAGTTCAACACTCAAACCACTAAAGTGCACTGGCTTTCCATAGAAATTGGACAGTATGCCAGAAATACCAAAGGAACAAACAACTGGAACTAGCCAAAAGTTCTATTCATCTTGGAAAACAGGTGCAAAGAAAGTCTGTAACTTATTTAATTGCTGCTTTTATATTTCTAGAACAAGCAGTTCACTTTCTTGGCCAAAAAAAGTGGTGGAAGGTAAAGAGGGAGGGATTGGGTTGCAGGAACCACATCAGGAGCTTCAACATTCATTCTCACCTTAAATACAATAATTTCATTCTTTGTTTTTTTGTTAATGTGAAAAAGTATGTGAACATAATAGCTAGATTCTAAAGAACAAGGTGGATAACAGGATGTTATGCTGGCGCCCCTTCTGCTCTTTTGCCACAGACAAATAAGTCTTTCTTTCATTTAACTTTTAATTGGGCTTTAATGGGGTGTGCTCAGCTTTGGTCTTTATGTTTTAAGCATGTTTTGAATGTGCTTACATTTTTAATTAATTTTAGCAAAAATTTCTATTAAAATTAAAAATAACATTTATACTACATAGGTATATTGCTGTAATTTTCTTTTTAACTGATATAGTATGTTGCCACAAATTCCATATTGGGAGGAATATGGCATATTCAATAATACATTTGGTTGCATGCTGCAAGTCACTTCTGGTGTGAGAGAATCAGACGTCTCAAAGATGTTGTCTAGGGGGTGCCTAGATGAGTTACGATCCTACGGGGAGGCTTCTTTCATGTCCTGGGATCACAACCAGACACAGTGAAGACATTTACCCTTGTGCTTTGCTACTCTGCTGCTGAGCATGCATGCCCAGTGTGGAATACATCTTACCACATTAAAACAGTGGATGTGGCTCTCAATAAGACACGTTGCATTATCATAGGATGTCTACGCCCAACATCATTAGAGAAATTATACTGTTTAGCTGGTATTGAGTCCTCCTAGGGATGAGAAAAGCGGTATATAAATACTGTAAATAAATAAATAAATATTGCACCACCTGACATCTGTTGGGAAGGAACAGCCAATAATGAAAGGACCAAGGCAGTGACATCTCCGGTCCATCTTCTGTTTTGCTATCAGCCAGCACACCAGTGCATTAAATCAAGAAACAACTTCCTAAGATCTACATAGATACTCGCAGGAACACCTCAGCAAGCGAGAGTCCAAAAGTGACAGGCAAAAACCCAGAACCGCAATCAGTGGCTGATACTAGATGACAGACTCTCCTTGGGAACACAGAAAATTGGGTAACCTGGAACGTGCTGAATAGGCTGCACTCTGGCACTAAAAGGTCTTAAGAAATGGGGCAATCTTAAGAAATCGGGCTACAAAGTGGAGTCCACAACATACGAGTGTGGAGAATAGCAAACCACAGACCACCAACTACAATGCAGCCTGAGCCCTGCCACAATCACAATGGAGGAGCCGCTCACAGCGACACCAGAAGCATTCCAAGTGGTCAGCTTCTGGTCAAAGGACATTTAGCATAATGCCAAGTTTTTAACTTTGTTTGTGTTTTCAAATACATTATAACAGTACCCTCAATTCGCTTCTGACATGATAAATAAAATAAATAATAAATTAGTGCTGCCTGAATAATATCCTGCAAGTCATATGGATATCTAGGTTCTTGTAGGTTTTTTCGGGCTATAGGGCCATGTTCTAGAGGCATTTCTCCTCTAGAGGAGAAATGCCTCTAGAACATGGCCCTATAGCCCGAAAAAACCTACAAGAACCTAGTGATTCCAGCCATGAAAGCCTTCGACAATACATATGGATATCGTTTTCAAAATGGAAGAACTTGGGGAAAAGTGTGTTATGGAACAAATGTAGGTCTGATTGTCGGAGGAGAAAAAAACCCACAAATGCTGCTGGTCATATGAAGTCCTTGCATGTTTCTAAAGTAATTCTTTGGTTTGGGGCTGTTGTTTTTACTTTGTGTAAAGAAAAATGTAATGTAGTGTCTTAGCCATCATAGAATGATTGAGTTGGAAGAGACCTCATGGGCCATCCAGTCCAACCACCTGCCAAAAAGCAG